GAAGAACAATAGATTCCATTCAATAACCATTTGTCAACTAGGYATATTAATCCTAGGAATCTAGTGTTAGAATCATGACTTTGGATGGAAGGCCTTCTTTATAAGCTGAAAATTCTTTAGTTACATCTCACCAACTTATAAAAGCCTATGTACTTCCCAGGCAGGATCAAAAATTCAGCTCAGGAGGGGAAAAAAAAAATCTCCCATCTACCTAAGTGCATGAGATATTCAGATAAAGTAGTCAGTTTTTCTRAAGTTTCTGAGTTTGAGGAGGAATAACTTTCTCATCACTGACGAATTCATCTCCTTTCTCAAATTATTCAAAGTTCAAAAAAAGTAGGGAAAGAGCTTGCGTGGGCCACAACTAGAGAGAACAAGAACCAGTAGAAACCAATATTTTCCATCATTATTTCTTCATTTTTAAATGAGTTACAAAATAGCCATAATTAACCCAAAATTTTTTCTGACATTTCTTGTCATTCACACCTTTTCATAAAACTACAACTGTTTACACTACCTCTTCCATTCATTTTAAACTCCTTTTACCAGGGATAATAAGTCTGACTGCTTGGCTCTTTCACACATACTAAACATTTTTAATATTAACATATTTTAATACAACTATTCTCATTACTTCTATTATGCATTCATTTTATTAACCAAGAAAACTTTGAACTCTCTTCTAATGAGAATACTCATTCTAGCACTTGGCTCACTCTCTCCTCTCTCCAATCCCACTTTTTTCTACAACTCTTGGCAGTCTGAAATTCCTCTTATAATTAATTTTCTTTCCCACCTTCCAATTTTCACAATATCATGTCTGGTTTACCAATTAATTTTACTTAGAATCATTAACCTTGTCTTTTGTTTATGTTCTAAATCCTTTATCTTCTTTATCTATCCAAAGTGCTTTTGATCATTTTCTAAGCCTGTGTTATGTCTTATAATGTATTTTGCAGCTTTAGAGTTTGGTGATAAATTAAGTTTCTCCATGTATTGAAATATCTTCCTTCAGCCTTCAAGGAAAAAAGCTTACTTTATTAGCTTAGTGTCTGTGGAAATTGCACCATTTATCTGAGTTTTATGTAAATTTTCCTGCTCAATTCACATATACAAATGCTAAAGATAAGGCCACTTTGTAAAATTCTAAGGCCACTTTGTAAAATTTTCTATCTCCCTTTATCTTGTCTTTTGGGTATAAAAACTTTGCCAATGGGTACATGAGGGAAGCAAAGGAGATTAGAGTAATTGGGTTGTTGTTTTGGTTTTATTGTGCTTATTTGTTTGCCAGGATGGGTCAAAATAATAGTATGATATCATGGAAAACACACACACACACACACACACATACACACAAGACTTTGGAATCTGGCCAATTAGAGTTTCAACACTGCCATCTTTTACTTGTATGACTGAGACAAGTTACTAAATGGAGCCTCATCTATATCTTGCTGGGCATTTTGTTTGTGGGTTGGTGGTTATTTATAAAGCATAATGAAACTTTACTGAAAAAATTATCAGCCAAAGCTATAGAGAAAATTGCAGTTAAATGTAAGATATCAAGACATTCTTTATAACTTGATTGTTTGAATAGTCATCGGTTTTTCACTATTTTTATTTTTCCAAAGCAACTGGTACACAGCTGGATTGACAACCACATGAGTAGAACCCATTATCTACTTACATAACCTTAAATCCCTTAGGTAAGATATCTATGTCTCAATGTTTTAATGTACAAAAGTGAGATGATAAAAGTACTTCATGGAGTTGTAAAAGTAAATAAGTTTAATATACTTACAACTATGACTTTCATTTGGTGAGAACCACATGCTTTAAACCATTATTGCTATTATAGCTACATTTATTACTACTGATATTATCACACCATATATCTATCTATCGATATTCATGCTGACATTGTAGGAAAAATTCTGAACTCAGCAAATGCTTTGCACAACAGTAGGTAATCAATAAATATCTCATTAAACTATTATCATTTTAATATGGCTCATTTTGGAAGAAATCTCTACAACCACACTTGTTTGTACTATTATTCCTCTTCTTGTTTTAGGTACATTGTTTTTTATACTGTTGTATAATCTACATAATTTATTAGCAGCTTCCACACCTTCAGAATCACATATTTGCTCAATCTGGGACATAGTATCAGCTGCAAACAGTTTATAAGTTTAGCCTATTCCTCAGTAACATCTTAACATTACTATCACCAAATATCTTACTTCATCTAGTTCTTTATAAGTAATCCAAATTTATTGTGATTATTTTTCCAGAGCCATTTTTCTCTTACATTTAAGAGAAACCGAGGATTAATAGAGAAATCCATACAAAAGGTATACCACAGGGCCTGTTACATAGTAAATCATCTAATAAATTTTAGTGTTACTATTATCAAATATTTTATATTAATTAACTGATATAACCCTTCAGTAAATAATCTCATGAGAAAAAATTTCTTCAGGCCACAGGTGAAATAACTGATGCTCAGAAAAATAAAGAGATCGAAATCACAAGTTAATCATTAAAATAGAGAAAAAAGATTCACACTAGGGTCTATCTTATCCCAAAACACTCTCTCCATTTCATTTGAGGGCCTTCACCATTTCTCCTCTCATCTTTTTCATGACAAGTTTGGGCTTATTTGCATTTATTTTTCAGTCTTTTGGTGGGAAGAATACTTCTCCAACTGATATAAGCATCCTGCCTGGGATCTATTGGGGGGTCTCTCCAAATCTACTTGCACTTAGGATGATATCCTTTAAAGCTGGGCAAGACTAAGCAAAAATGGCCAAGGCATGTTGTGTATTATTCTACCTTACTCCTTACAATAATTCTATGAAATAGGTGCTTTTATTAGTCTCCATTTGTAGCAGAACAAACTGTGGCTAAGATAAGCCGCACAGCTCACTGCATTGGGAGTCCCCAGGAAAGGCCAGGTGCTTGCTCTTTCCCACTGAGCCACAACAGTGGACATTGCAGTTGAGATACCTGTGCCCCTCGCTTTTTTTCAGCTTCCCTTCCTCCATTTTTCATGTCATTCTTGGTTTTGCCAGTCCATAATGGATTTTGCTTTTGCTCTGACATGTTTGCACTCAGAGACTGAGCTGCCTTGTAGAACCTGCTATTGTTGTGGAATACTGTTCTACTGCCCTTTTGTTATTAGGAAACAAAAGAGAAAACACATCTAGAGTTGCACACATGTGTGCTTTTGCTCACTATCATGAAAGATGAACTATCCTTGTAGCACTAGCATATCATTACTTTGAAAAGAACGATCTGAAATCATCTGGTAAGTTAACATCTACTCAACCCGAGTGGTGGGCACAAAGGTGTCACACTATTTCTCAAACTTCTGTAGAAGTTTGAAAAATCTCATATATTAAGCAAAAAAATAACTGTAAATAGAAAAGGCTGTCATCTTAGAAAGCACTTTTAGAGTTACTGCTCACAGAACGAAAACACTTGTTATACATTGGAAAATAAACAGCCACATACTTACATGTATAATTATACCTATAGCAGATTAGTTATTATTGTTTTTCCTCCCTCTGATTGGGCATTGGATGATTTTGGCATAAACTGAGCGGCTTAATCAAGGCTTTCAAGAGTCATCCTCTACAGTTAAAAGAATGGATGTAGAATGGGTGGAAAGGCATCACCTGGAGATGACCAGAGGGGCTAATTGACCTTATGTCAGGAGACCACACAGAGTGGCATTTATCACCTTGAGAATAACAGTTTCTTCTTCTCAGGCTAAGACACACACATGCATCACCCTTCTGAAGGGGATTCCTCTTCTCAAGGGCAGACTTACTTTAACAAAGCTCACAAGACTGATAAWTTAAATCAAAGTGTCAACATTGTTTTACAATGAAAAATCTGTCATAGAAACAGCATATTGACTCCCTGTGGGGCAGCCTACATTGAAAATCAAACTATAATCACAAGTTTTCATGACTAGCACAGAATGAGGAAAGAGAAGTGTTAGATAGCTCTGCTGCATATTTAATAGTGTCAAGCTATATTGTCCAATGCATCCATCCATATATACAGGAAAAGGCCCACCCATGGGAAAAAAATACTACAAAGTTCCTTGACCAAAACTCTCCTCTGGCTAGTGCCCAGGTTTGCCCACATGACTCTCATATTTTTGTTTTAATGGCCATCACACCCCTCTTTGAATGGAGTCTCTTTTTTCATTAAATGCACTGACACACTCAACATTATAGCAGGTCTTGTAGGCCACGTATCGCCTATAGAAGTGATTGATTCTGCCAGTTGCCCATGTTAGAGCTTTTAAAAGACTCTATATAGAAACTTCATATTGAGACATAGATCACAAAATATTTATGATAGGCCATAATATAATTCACAAAGTCATTCATTAATGTGTCCCAAGTTCCTAGAACAGTGCCAGTCACTTAGTAGACTCTTAATAAATACTTCTTATATAAATGAAGAAAACTCATTTAAAAGAAAAAGTAGTTCAGTATAAGCCTAATGAACCTAATGATCCTCACCATTCACTTTGTAAATATAATTATTCAGAGCCTGGGAACTTTATTCTAAATATACTTTTCCACATTCATCATGAATTACTGCGAAAAAAATCCCTCAAATGCCATTCATCAACTATCAGCCACTACTACCATTTCCACCACTACATACTATCAAAAAGGGCCATTTTCATATTGTTCTTGAACCCAGATGGGCACCAAATGAACTATCAATTCTTGATACAGAAGATATTTCATCATCTCACAAAGCCAATAAGCACACCAACCAATCTTAGTGCAGAAGAGAAATAAGTGTGTAAACATTACAAAAATATGTATTTATAGAAACTTCTGACACCTTGCTTTTGAAACAGGCCAACAAAGAAAGTTTATAGTAAGGTCATAAGGTCCTAGAAGGCGTGATCCCACTTATAGTCCTTAAGGTCAGACCTACCCTAGCATGTATGTGCTGTGTGTTTTACTCACCGCATACTGGAACTTTTCATTATATTCACGGTCATTGGCTTTTACAATCCGTTCCACTTCTAAAGAGAAAGAAAAATCAGGTATGAAATCAAATTTTAAACCCTCAGCAATATATAACTCATTAAAATAAAATCTTTCAGGTTACTTTCTTGTCAACATTACAAGAATTCTTTTCTTTGAAATCGAAGGGCAATGGCCTTTTTCTAGCCTAAATATTGGAACCTGCATTGGAAAGTCTCAAAATGGAAAGCTGAAATGTTTCTCATTATCTTTTTGATGCCCAACATAAAGCAAAACATTATGTGCCTCCAGTTCCTATGTCCTTTCCACTCCACAAAGACCTTTTCCCTTAATTTCAGGTCATTATTAAAGGAGAAGGAGTCACTGAAAACCAAATGTACCCTGAGATTTTTTTTTTTACAAAATATAATACAGCTAAATAGAAGCATACAGAAGTGAGACAGCAAAAATGTCATATGATTAAGAGACTGAGACCTTTAATTAGAAATAACCAAAAAGTAAAATCTCTTCAGAAAGCAAATGCAATCACCAGTACAAATAACAAAATAAAAGAACAATAAGCTCAAAGATTATGATAGTGCACAAATAAAATTTTGTAAAGGGCAAAAAAAAAAAATAGTGCCCAGAAATACCAACAGTGCATGTTTTATAGTGAAGGTAGCAAGTTCTTGTCTCATGTTTACTTGGAGAGTTACTACCAGAGTTGAACAAAGGTTTCTGATAGAATAAACTTTGTTCTATCAGAAAAGAGTCAGTAAAATTCTCACCCATGCAAATGGTGGCCTCTCATGGTAAGTGACATAACCCACTCACCTGGGATTTCCTTAATCCCACAGTTCTTTAACTGAGTACAGGACAAGGTAAAAGGTATAGGTATAGGGGCAGAGATAAGAGTTTATAGAAGGTACATACAATCACAGAGACAAAGAAGATCTTGAGGGTGGAAAGTAACTTGGAGGCACATGTCAGGGCTGAGGAAGGCAAACCAAGAGGACAGAGTAGAGCTGCAAGCAGAAGGAAAAAGAAAAAGATGAGCGAGATGAAGAGAGAGAGAAGAAAGAAAGAAAGAAAGAAAGAAAGAAAGGAAGGAAGGAAGGAAGGAAGGAAGGAAGGAAGGAAGGAAGGAAGGAAGGAAGGAAGGAAGGAAGGATACACTTAGACTTTAGCACCACCCTCTGCATGCCAGACACCCTGAATTGTAAGAACTAATTTTTCCAGGAAGTCCAGGAAGAATCTAAATGTTTCTTTGGCTCCTGTGGCTCATCTTCCAAACCTTAATGTCACCTCTGAAGCTTGCTCCTGACACATGACACCCTGTTTTCAAGGTGACACTTGGGTTTCTACCATCTGTAGAGTGTTTTGTTTGCTTGGCACCCACCTATGTGGTTTCCTTTTTGCCTATGAGTAGTCRGGCCCTGTGATTGTTCCTGTTTTCTAGTCTGACTCACCTAATTGCTGATAAGAACAATATTGAACTGAGGTCAACAGCTGACAACACCTGAGCGGGCCCACCCCTGATGTGGATGACTCTAAAATCCAGAACCCACCAGGAAGCAATCCTCAACCAACCAACAATCCAAAAAAAAAAAAAAAAACCCACTTCAAATCCTAGCTATGAAAGAACAATTCTTTTTTCTGATTCTCCACAAAGAGCAAAAAACTCAAAGCCCAAAATGGTATTTCAGAGGATGAAATTATTTAAAAGATTAAAACTCTAGATAATTTATTTATACATCCCTATCTTAACCCAGGAGTAGTAAAACAGATGACAGGAAAATAATGGATATTATTGGTAGGGTGGAGGTGAAAAGATCTTTCTAAATGGCAAAAGTTAACTTGGCCCATCTAATTTATGAATTAAATTTGGCTCTAAGTAAAAAAAAAAATCTTATATACTAATTTGAATATTTATTGGCCTTAGCTTAGATCATGCATATTCAGATGGCAATAATTTTCAAATTTTACATTTGTATGATGCACATCCAAGAACAGGAAGCTCCTTACCTAATTTTATCTACTCTAAATACCAAAATCTTTACTCTATGAGGTAAGTAGGTGCCATTTATCCAGTGATTTCATGAAACCACACTCTACAAGGATTGAGACCAGCCCTCCCACAAAAATGATCAAGTAATTTCTATGATGGGTCAGTTTGGTGTCCAAGATTGCCCTTGTCCCATAAGATCTGGTTGGAGCTAACAGTCTTCTTTTTTTGCTCCTAAATTCTTATGATTAAGTCTTAATCTTTGCTTCTATATTTCCAGTAATTACTGTCTTTCTGAATGAACCTTTATGATTAATTCTGGCAGATTTCACATTACTTCACTAAGCTCTGCAAAATTCTTACTTTGGTTCTAAATCCCTCCACCTTTCTGCCTTTAACCTAACTATGCTAAACCTGAATTATCTTTGCAGGGATTAACTTTCTTATATATGCCACCAGAATATATGAGGGGATATAAATCCCCCATGACAATAATTCACATCTTACAAGAAAGGAAAGTAGAAATAAACCCCAGCAACAACTCCCAGTGAGAATGGCTTAGCAGCTCAGTGACTTAAACTAATATCTCATAGGCATCATGGGACTTTCCAGACGTAATCTCAATAGGAAAGTGGTCACCATGGGGTTTGTGAATGACCAGCATAAACTCACTCCTGAACAATTATCAATAAATTTGTGTGACTCCAAAAAGAAGAGAAGTGAGATATGAGGATCACTTTTTAAATATAAAATATAAAAATCGTTTTTAAAAACCTGGTATATCACCAAGGGTAAAGTACAGTCAAAGAGATACAAGGTCTTCCCATTTAAAATGGAAAAATGAGTATGCTCTTTACCTGCCTAACTTCTCAAGTCCCAATGAAATTACAGAAAACGTTTTTTAAGAATAAAAACAGAACAGTGCTACAAAGCAAAAGTATGGCTAGCAGAGGTACATAAATTTTTAAGGAAGCTCAGAAAATAAATTAGAAAGTAAATGGATCATTATGACTGAGAAATTAAAAAGATAGGARTAACTCCAGCAACAGAATTAGGGGAATGGTCTTCCCAGGAGAGCCCCCAGAGCAGCCCAAATTCAGAGTAAGTATAAAAATTGAGAGTGTATTATAGACAGGGTGACAGTACAAATCTAGGCCTATTAGCTTTGTGAAATAATTGATAGGGTCCCCTTTCTTCTCAAAGTGTCTCAAAGTGGATAATAAATTATATTATTACCTTAATTTTGGAATGTCATCAGAGCAATTGTATAATACTGGACCCAGATAGTCCTTCCCACACTCCCTCTTTTTTGCCCAACATACCAGAGGAGGAAACCAAGAGTGTGTGCACAGGCCTAAGAGGAAAGCAGCTCTGACCCTCTATAATAGCTATAGTAGACTTTAATAAAGCCTGCCAGTCATGGAATTTTCCAGACTCCTGCCATTCCCATAGAAAGGCCTGACAGCTGGCTACTCTCTGATCTTCCTATTTAAAGGAGAGGACTAATAAAGAAAAAGAATTTTGCAACTGCACTAGCCTAGCCAGTTCTTCACTTAAAAATATAAACCAGTAATCAAAAGTCACCAGATAGCTGAAAAAAAAAATGAACACAATTTTTTTTTWAAAAAAAAAAGGAACCTCGAGAAAGAGATAATGCTGAAGACAGGTGGAGAGGGGGTTGATTTTTCTAATTCTAATTAGTACCTTGAAGATATGTAAGAAGACATATCACCCATGAAACAAAAACAAACTGATACAAAGGAAACAAGAGTGAATTCTTGGAAATTAAAGATATTTAATAAACAAACAAGAATAGATAAGATTAAAGAAATCTCTTAAAATATATATTGACATGACAAAGAAAAGGAAAATGTGAAAAGAAAACTTGGGGGAGTGGAACACTGGCAATGGACAGGAAGACATAATCAAATAAACAAAGAACTCTGCACTAGAGTAAGCCATAACTCTCCAAAGTGAAAGAGCCATTAAATGACAATCAGGATGAATGGAAAGAGACCCACAAATTTTCATAAAATTTTTAGCTCTGAAGACTAGGAGGTGATCCTCAAATCTCTCAGAAGGGGAAAAAAATTGGTTAAGCCCAGAGACATAAGAATCAGACCAACATGAAATTTTTCATCAGCAACAAGGATGCTAGAAGACTTGGGATGATGCCTTTCAGGTTTAATGAGAGATGAATTTGAACTTAGAAGTTAATATCCAAGAAAGCAAACAATCAAGTATGAAGGGAAAATAAAGACATTTTCAGACCTGCAAGAATATTTACATCTAAGAATAACTTTTCAAGAATGTACAACAGAAAAAAGTTGTCTTTCTGAATGAAACTTTATGATTAATTTAAATTTATTTTAAATTTTAAAAGTAGAGTAAAAAGTGTAGAAGCAAGGGTGGTGATTAACCACAGTCAAGAATGATAATAAAAATGCAAAATAGGATAACCCACATACCTGCCCAAGATGGAGTGTAAATTCTGTAAGGAAGAAGAATTGTCTAGTGCCCTTTATCTCACAAAATCAATTTTTTGGAAAAAGTAAAAGTACTACCTATTCTTGGCTCAGACATTAATTTCTCTAAGAACATCTCACAAAGAAGTCATTGGTACAAAGAAAATAAAAATAAGATTTTTAGAGCTCTGTTTTATAACAGCCCTATAAGATGTCATACCAAAACTCAATTCGAAAGGACCAATAGTGTCCCTGTACTCATTCTCTGCTGATCTGATTAAATCCAGTAGCAAATTTTAGGATCTTTGGATGAATAAATGAACTGAATGTCCTTCAATCATTTATTCTAATCATTATTTCTCTCAAATTCACTTGTGCTAAATACTATGTGACCATGAGCTTCAACATTTCCTGAAAAGTACCTGGAGAGTGGCTGTGTTGTGTTGCTAAGTACAAGACAGAAGATCAGTTGGAAGTAAGGTTACACCTCTGTGTCAGCTGAGGAACAAAGGCAGGTATCTGGAAGGGACACCATCGTTCACCATCCCAGGGACCTACCCAAGAAATCAGCCATCAGATAGAATTTTCT